AATACTTATTTTCCACCATAATTTGCAAATAAATTCTTTCCAAATCAGCCAATGTGATTGTCTGGATTTGTTTTCTCATTTTATCTCTCATAGTTGAGGTCTACCTATGATGCCAATTACAGGCCTCTCTCATCTTTTTAAGTGGGAGAACTTGCACAATTGGTGGCTGACTAAATATTTTTTTGCCCCACTGTAACATGGTTTCCTATGGAACATGTTCACATCTATGCTTTTTGAGCTGCTGCATTTTTGGAAAGGGTCAGGGGCTTTTTTAACCTGTTCTGCGCCACCCTATAGCAGCTGTCAATCACCGAGTGGTGATTACTCGCCGGCACCCGGTGATCGTCAAGTATCTCTGACAGGGCAAAGACCTGTGTATAAACAACCCAGATCTATCCCCTGTCAGCTCCTGTACACTGCTTTGTATGGCTCTGCATAGCAGTGTGCTTACAGTGAAGCACGCACACAGCCCAAGTAGTGACACAGCACACAGTTAACCCTTTGATCAACCCAAATGTTAACCCCTGCCTGCCCAGTGCCATTAGTACAGTGTCAGTGCTTTTTATTAGCACTGATCGCTGTATTGGTGTCACTGGGGATGTCAGTGACACCAAGTCAGTACCTCCCAGTGTCAGAATGCCTGCCGCAGTCCCGCTATCGTTGATCACCACCATTACTAGTTTATTTGTTTATAGCGCAAACAATTAAAAACTCACAGGTGATCAAATACCACTGAAAGAAAGTTCAATTTGTGGGGAAAAAAATGACATAAATTTAATTTGGGTGCAGCGTTGCATGACTGCGCAATTGTTAAAGTAACGCAGCACCGTATTGCAAAAAATGACCTGGTCAGGAATGGGTGTAAATCCTCTGGAGGGCAAGTGGTTCAAAGCAAAAAGCAGCATTTTTGCTACAATAGAGTTCAATGAAAAAGCTGCTGAAATGCATGGTAGTACGTTTTTGCTGTGTTTTTCCTTTTGCATTTTATTCTGCACAGCAACAAAAAATGCACCCCAGTCATGCGAACCTCTGCGGGTGTGTATGTTAAGTTAACAACACCCCGAAAGCGGTCCGCAAAATGTGGTGCGATGTGCGGAATCAGATTGCATAGGTGTGAATACCCATGCAATCCGATTCTAGTGTGGACCAAAAAAAGGGTCATGCACCTTTTTAGTGCAGGTGCAGTGTGATTTGAGCCATGCAAAATGAATGGCTGCAATCGCACCGCACACAAATCGCATGTGCAGTTGCTGTGCGAATCACATGAGATATACCGCACCGCATATATGTGAACCCAGCCTAAAGGTGGTTATAATCCAGAAAAATATGCAATTTGATCATGCCATTAAATAAGTCTTTGCCCTTAGTTTCACTACAATTCTCCAGTGTATGGCCCTCCCCTTCTCTTATGATTGACAGGCTGTGCAGAGGAAACACACAGACTAGACACACCTACAGATACTGGGTTTTTGGTGCTGAGTGCACTCATGATCTGAGGCAGAGCATGTCTATTTTGTTGGAGGACGTGTATAGTGTGGGGGGTATCTTGTGACATCAAGTCTCCAGTTTTAAGCCCATGGATCAGCAGGAATAGGAAGGCTAAGACAAGCTAAGGGAGTGCTTTTCTGAGGTTCGGTCACTATTATATGTGTGTTTACATAAAAATGCATTAACTGATGATAAAACATGTCTTTTTTTAGATCCACATTTAAAACCACTTTAACCATTTACCCTCCTGAGAATTTACCCCCCTTCCTGACCAGGCCATTTTTTGTGTTACTGTGCTTTTATTTTAACTGACAATTGCACGGTCATGCAACACTGCACCCAAATTAAATTTACACCCTTTTTTTCCCCATGTATTGAGCTTTTTTTCAGTGGTATTTGATCGCCTGTGTGTTTATTTTTTTGCGCTATAAAAAAAAGGCCAACAATTTTGAGAAAAGAAACAATATTTTTGACTTTTTGCTATTAAACATGTCCAGTAAAAAAAAAAATAATAAAAAAAAATTTTCTAAAATGTATGCTGCTATGTGTCTTTGCTGAAAAAAAACTCCCAATACGTGTAAATTAATTGGTCTACGTGACAGTTATAGCATCTACAAATGGCGGTATATATACTATATACTCGGGAAGCAGTTAAGTATTATATATTACCTGATCCATATTTATATAGTGAGTGCTGGATAACTCAGACTATATTCAGGCAATAAACGCAGAAGTTTGAGAAGTTGTTAATATTCTGTAGCATGTTACCGAGAATACAGAAATTTTAATACAAGCTCTACTTCAGAAGGCAGAATCTCACACAAACCTAGGAAATATAGACTCTACAAATTCAAAGGCACTAATCTACTAAAAGAATAATTTTACACTGGCCTGTGGCTTTACTTCAAATGCCATATCACTTTCCAATGTTTTAGTTTTTAAAAATTCCCCTGACATGGCTAGCGTTTTCATGTAAACATGAACGCAAGTTGTTGTAAGGCTCTCCTAATAACACTGTTCAACAAATTTTTATTTTTTGCCAGTTTTGGAAACAAAAGGATCCATTTCTTAATGAATTTCACATTCTGAGTTCAAATATAACAATGAAATTTGTCAATTGGCTCTAGTTTTTCTGTAAACGGAAAGTTTTCTACTATAGGCGTAATGACTACATAATGCACAATAATTATATAGATAGATGTCTTTCCACAAATATAAAGCAAGTGATATTGACTACATAACAAAGCCTAAATGGCATAATATATTGCATAGGATTACCAAGAAAAATTATAGCCATAAGCTAAGTTGAATCATTTTAATACTTAGGATTCTCACTAGTTTTGTCTTCAGTTTGTGTCGGTTTTGCTTCTCTTGGCTTTTCTCTTGTATTCGAGGAAAGGGCTATCTCTTACAACTGCACGTGACTACACGCTTCAGGTTCTTCCTCATTTGACTCAACCACAAAGGATTCTGGTGCTTTAGGAATTGGTAGCCCCTCTCCATGATGAACTGGACGTATTGCCGATGGAATATTTGGATAGTGCACAGATAACTTTTTCTTCTTATTTAGCCCTTTTGTTGGAGGCACCATACAAAAGTAACAATTACTAACATGATCTGTTGGCTCTCTCCAAATCATTGGCACAGCGAAAGGCATAGATGCCTTTTTTTTTCCATTCAACCATTGCTCCAGTGCTGTCCCACAAGAATTGCAGCATATATGTGGTGCCCAGCTCTTGTCCTGGTCTCCTATCTTGCAGCCAAAATACAAGTTGTAGGCTTTCTTAATCATTCCTGTTATCCTCCTTTTTTGTGAGATAAAAGTTATTTCACCGCAGATATAGCAGAAATTATTTGCTTTATTCACACAAGTTCGAGGCATTACTGAGTAGCCTATATAAGCATAAACGAAACGAAATGTAAAGACGCTGTCGAACTACAATCAGCTACAGATACTGCAGCTTTTATGCAGTGAAGTGATGCAATTAAAGGCTAATATTGCATCATCTCAGTATACATGCAATTTTCTATTGGTCACCAGTATCAATTGCGCAATATGCAGCTGAAGTTGCATCATAATTTTGAATGGCTTACGTCATTAGATGGGTGAATATATCATGGAAACTAGAGCCAATCAACATTTTTTAGGGTCATTTTCGTTTTCAGCACCCCAAAATTATGTAAGATTAGCTAATTTTATGCCCAAAACTTTTTTACCTGTTGAACAGTGTAATCAGAGCCAGACCTCTCATGCATGTTTGCCCTTTTGCTACTCCCATAGCCACTGTAATTCACATGTCATATTACGTTCTTCTACCTTGTCAGTACTGCAGGGTTTGCTTGGCTGGCTGGTGCCACACACAGAGGCCAACAGGTTAAAAGCAGGAAGAATGTTAGGTCTCGTAGTAAGTTACAATTAGAACATACAAAAACTGAGACCAAGTCAACTCAGTGAAAGTGCCCTGCTCAGTCTTTCCATACCAATGTCTCCGTTTACCGCAAAGAAATTTGCCTGAAACTTACTTATGACAACTGTTTCATGCTTGTCACTGGAACTGGTGTCTCCGTTGAAAGATTTATCCTCACCTCCAGCTCTGGTGACAAACTCAAAAGCTAATATTTCCCATCATTTCTGTCTTAGTGACAATGGTTAACAAGACAAATAGAAAGGGTATATACATAGCTGGGACAGCATAAAAAACTTGACATCTATTCAAAGGAAAAAAAAAGGTTTGGTTTTCTTTACACTTTAGTATTCCACCCCATAAGTCAACACCACATCTACTGTATAGAATACTGACATATTGTTTTGGGGGTTCATATACTGAAAAAAAAAATATTCCCCAAATGAGGGTTACTGCCTTTACCAAAGATTACATTTTTATATTGATTATTAATTAGAATAATATTAAACATCCCTGAGGTTTTTTTTGCTATGATTTTTTTGCTAGTCACAGGGAACTTAAAGTTATATTAACCAGTTGCTGACCGCAGGTAGCCGAATGACGGCTGCACTGCAGCCGTCCAGTTCTGGGAGGCCATAATATGACGTCCTCCCAGAACGCGCTCTCCTGCACGCCCCCTGAGGCACGCACCTGGCGATCTCCATGATCACTGTCCAACGGACACAGCTGACCATGTGATGTGGTAAAAGGCCAACAACAGCGACCTTTTACCACGTGATCAGTCGTGTCCAATGACATGCTAAATGCATGGGAAATGCAATTGCCGTTTCTTGGCTGCACTTTCCTCACGCTGTCAGCGTGTGAGAAAAGTACTGCAGAGAACCGCCATTTTGGCAGAGCAGGGATCGGCACTGATCATCAGCGCACTAATGATCAGTGCCCTGATGATCGGTGCCCAGCAGTGCCTCCCACCAATTCCGCCCACAAGTGCCCAGCAGTGCCACCTACCTGTGCTCACCAGTGCCCACCAGTGCCACCCACAAGTGCCCATCAGTTTCCGCCCAGCAGTGCTGACAGTCAGTGCCGCCTGACAGTACCCATCAGTACCTGGTCATCAGTGCCACCTATCTGTGCCACCTCATTAGTGCTGCCTATCAGTGCCCATCAGTGCTGCCTATCAGTGCAGCCTCATCAATGCACATCAGTGAAGGAGAAAAATTACCTGTTTGCAAACTTTTATAATAGAAACAAAAACTTTTTATAGCGCAAAAAATAAAACACCCAGCGGTGAGTAAATACCACCAAAAGAAAGCTCTATTTGTGAGAAAAAAAATATAAAATTTTCATATGACTACAATGTTGCATGACCGCACAATTGTCATTCAAAGTGCGACAGCACTGAAAGCTGAAAATTGGCCTGGTAAGGAAGGGGGTATAAGTGCCCTGTAGGCAAGTGGTTAAAGGCAATTAAAAAAAGAAAGAAAAAAAACATGTTATACTTACCTGCTCTGTGCAATGGTTTTGCACAGAGCAGCCCCAATCCTCCTCTTCTCAGGTCCCACGCTGGCACTCCTAGTCCCACCCTCCTGCCGAGTGCCCCAGAACAAACAGCTTACTATGCAGGCAGCCAATGGCTCACTCTGCTGTCTCAGACAATGAGAAGGGAGAGTCCCCAGAGAGCCAAGGCTCTTGTGCACATAACTGTATCATCATGGGGCTCATGTACTGCACACAGAAGTTTTTATATTTTCATGCATAGAATGCATGAAGGTAAGAAATCTTAAACCTTTACAACCATTTTAATCACTTGCCCTCCAGAGGATTTACCCCCCTTCCTCACCAGGCCATTTGTTGCGATACGGCGCTGCATTAATTTTACTAAAAAATTGTGCGGTCATGCAACACTGCACCCAAATGAAATTTGCGCCCTTTTTTCCCCACACATAGAGCTTTCTTTCAGTGGTATTTGATTGCCTGTGTGATTTTTTTTTTTTTTGAGCTATAAACAAAAAAGACTGACAATTTTGAGAAAAAAAACAATATTTTTGACTTATTGCTATTAAACATGTCCAGTAAAAAAAAATTAAAAATCAAATTTCATCATAAATTTAGGCCAAAATGTATTCTGCTACATGTCTTTGTTAAAAAAAAAAATCCAGTAAGTGTAAATTAATTGGTGTACGTGAAAGTTCTAGCATTTACAAATGGCGGGTATATATACTGGAATTTAGTTTTTTTGGTAATGCAGAGCCATACAAAGCATGTTGTTCATGCACAGATCTCTCCCCCATCTGAGATACTTGGTGATCACCAAGTGCCAGCGAGTAATGACTGGCCGGGACCCGGTAATTGACAGCTGAGGCTGCGAATGGTGGCGCGGGGAGGGCGTGTGTGCGCCTCCTACCCGGAACTGCAAAATGACATATATACATGGTTTCGCACACCCGTGCCACCCTGTAGCAATATTTCTGCTGTAGGGTGGCGTGGAACTGGTTTAAGTGACAAAAACATGGTTAAAAAAAAAGTTCTTAGAATGTTTTCTAATATATCCATTACTCTCAGCCTCCTCCAAATCTAAAAATTCTTGCTGTGATCTGACTTCATGCTGTGATCTGACTTCCTGTTATAGCTTGCCTATGGTGTCTGTTTATGAACCAGCAGTAATAGATCGCTGGTCAGTTCTCCGGCATTCTCGGAGAACACAGTTCTCCTGTGAATGCAGTTTATGAAGCAGTTCTCCGAACGAAGGGAGAACGATCTCCAAACGCTGGAGAACGGTCTACAAACTCTGGAAAACGGCTGATTTTACTATAATCTCGCGAGATTACAGTAAAAGATCAGTTTACTAAACAGAGGTAAATTATCTCTGCTTAGTTTTCGGTCCCTCCGATTCTCCAGCTCTGGGCTGGAGAATCTGGAGGGAGAACACAGATCTCCAGAGAAGGGCTGAACTATTCTCCTGGGTGTTATAAACTGTGAATGACCAGGGAATTGCTGTGATCCTCTGAATCACAGCTATTGTGTGTGTGTCATAAACGGACACCTAAGTTTGTTCTTCCCCATTGCATGTAGGAACATAGCCATCTGCTCTTCTTCACTCTGAGATGGACTAGGGAATATGGACATTGGATTATGAAATTTGTAGTGTGCACAGAACAGTTCACATAACCACAACTAACGTACACTGCTTCATCCAAATAATTATGCACGGGAAAAGGTGAAGTTTGGGAGCTCATGGAGGACAATACAAGCAGGCATAAAAACACAGTAAGAAACAGTTTTGTGAAAAGTAGATGACTATGGCTATTCAGTAGTGAGTGTGCATAGATCATTTTTGGTAAAATAAAGGACATTTTTAGTGTCATTTTAACTAGTGTGGTTTTTATCCTGAAACTAATGACCCCCTTTTTTCCCTTGGGGTCTGTGTTAACTTTGGTTGGCCCTCCTCCACCACTGGATAAAAACTAAAATAAAATTACTATAAGCATTTTGAATGTAGTTGACTATTAATCAATATAATAGAACATTTCAGACTGCTTTTTCTCTTCATACAAGCTTCATTACTTGAGTCACTAACCCAGAACACATACGCAGTTAAGGACTTCTCTTTCCCTTTCCTAAACTGTAAACCTGTTTCAGGTTGTCGACTGTATGGGGGCGAGTGAGGTTCAAGAGGGCAGTATTTTCAATATGAATCCAAGATCAAGAACATGGACCTCAAACTAACTGAAAGGAAAGTTCAAAACTAATCTTATAAAGTATTATTTTACTGAAAGGGTAGTTGATGCTTGGAATAGACTTGCAGCAGAGGTAGTGAGTCAGTCAACAGTAAGTGGTTTCAAACATGCTTGGAACAAACATAGATCTATACCCAGAAATATTATGAATTAAAAAAAATACAAAAAACTTGTATTAAAATTGGCAGACTCGATGGACCACTTGGTCTTCGGAAAACAATAGTACTCAGAATGCAATATCACAGCTGGAGTGATTCCCCCATTCACATTGAATGTGTGGATGGGGTAAATGAATCATTTTTTTTTTTAATTCAACCTGGTGGTTGAACGAAAAATAATGCATTATGCATATGGGCTGCCTTACAGCTTCAAGCAATGGCAACCATCATATTTCTCTAATTACTGTACATGTACATAGAGACCATTAATAGTTGTGGGTCAACAAGGCTTTGATTTCAGTTGAAAATTCTGACTGAGCCATCTGCCATGGACACCCTCATTTACAGTGCCCAAGTAAGTCCATTCCTTTTTCATTGGTGCTTCACATACTTCCCAGCCAGGCACTACAACTCACATTGGGAGGGTTTTAGGCAGTGTTGTAATCATAAAGCAATGTGCCAGAATAGGTTTGGTCAGTTCTGATTGACAAGCTGCAGATGTGTAAATCTGCAGTGACAATGCAGATAGCAACCCCCCTGCAACTTTTGAAATCGCACTGTAGTGCAAGCAGGCACAGCCTACAGGTGAAAAATTAGAATATTGTGCAAAAGTTCATTTAATTCAATAATGCAACTTAAAAGATAAAACTAATATATGAGATAGACTCATTACATGCAAAGTAAGATAGTTCAAGCCGTGATTTGTCATAATTGTGATGATTATGGCTTACAGCTGATGAAAACCCCAAATCCACATTCTCAGAAAATTAGAATATTGTGAAAAGGTGCAATATTCTAGGCTCAAAGTGTCCCACTCTAATTAGATAATTAAGCCACAACACCTGCAAAGGGTTCCTGAGCCTTTAAATGGTCTCTCAGTCTGGTTCAGTAGGAATCACATTCATGGGAAAGACTGCTGACCTGACAGTTGTGCAGAAAACCATCACTGACACCCTCCATAAGGAGGGAAAGCCTCAAAAGGTAATTGAAAAATAAGTTGGATGTTCCCAAAGTGCTGTATCAAAGAACATTAATAGAAAGTTATGTGGAAGGGAAAAGTGTGGAAGAAAAAGGTGCACAAGCAGCAGGGTGACCACAGCCTGGAGAGGATTGTCAGGAAAAGGCCATTCAAAAGTGTTGGGGACTTTCACAAGGAGTGGACTGAGGCTGGAGTCAGTGCATCAAGAGCCACCACACACAGATGGATCCTGGACATGGGCTTCAAATGTCGAATTCCTCTTGTCAAGCCACTCCTGAACAACAAACAATGTCAGAACCGCCTTACCTGGGCTAAAGAAAAACAGACCTGGTCTGTTGCTCAGTGGTCAAAAGTCCTATTTTCTGATGAGAGCAACTTTTGCATCTCATTTGGAAACCAAGGACCCAGAGTATGGAGGAAGAATGGAGAGGCACACACGGCAAGATGCATGAAGTCCAGTGTGAAGTTTCCACAGTCTGTGTTGATTTGGGGAGCCATGTCATCTGCTGGTGTCGGTCCACTGTGCTTTATTAAGTCTAGGGTCAATGCAGCCGTCTACCAGGAGATTTTGGAGCACTTCATGCTTCCTTCCGCAGACGAGCATTATGGGGATGCTGACTTCATTTTCCAGCAGGACTTGGCACCTGCCCACACTGCCAAAACCTGGTTCAAGGACCGTGGGATTACTGTGCTTGATTGGCCAGAAAACTCGCCTGACCTGAACCCCATAGAGAATCTATGGGGCATTGCCAAGAGAAAGATGAGAGACATGGGACCGAACAATGCAGAAGAGCTGAAGGCTGCTATTGAAGCATCCTGGTCTTCCATAACACCTCAACAGTGCCACAGGCTGATAGCTTCCATGCCACACCGCATTGAGGCAGTAATTGCTGCAAAAGGGGCCCAAACCAATTACTAAGTACATATGCATGCTTATACTTTTCAGAGGTCCGATATTGTTCTATGTACAATCCTTGTTTTATTGATTGCATGTAATATTCTAATTTTCTGAGCTTGTGGATTTGGGGTTTTCATGAGCTGTAAGCCATAATCATCACAATTATGACAAATCACGGCTTGAACTATCTTGCTTTGCATGTAATGAGTCTATTTCATTTATTAGTTTTATCTTTTAAGTTGCATTACTGAATAAATGAACTTTTGCACAATATTACAATTTTTCGAGTTTCACCTGTATACGAGTGGAAACTGCATTGAATTCAGGAGCATTATTGCCAACCCATTACAAGAAGCTGCATTAGGCAGGCTCAAAGGGTATTTGTAGGATGTTTTCTAAAGACTTAGGGCCT